CTATATCATATATTATATGAATGAATACCGAATACGTCAGATTTTTGCATCACAAACGAAATAGAAATTGCAGTATTAATTAACTCCTCTCCTAGATTTAGGTACCTACTTTATTATACAAATATATTAGTTTACTTACATCTTCCATTATGATTTTGGCCTGATATTATAATTTATAAAAAAATTTGATGAAATTATACAACATGGCTACTTAGCAGGCATCCAATGTGCTATAGTGGCGCCATCCATGGCAAACTGAAAAACATATTTTTGTTCATAACCTCTTACAATTTTTTTATATACTATGTCAAAATGTCCAGTGTTAACAGAAAAAACTTTGCTACATTATGAGGAGTGATTAATATTTTCATTCACAACAATAACAAAGTCTATTAATAAAAAATAATTTATCCCCAGATTGGCAATATGCTAGGGCACTGCTTGTTCAAGGTACACTGTACACTGACATGACACCCCGCAACTGTGCACGGTGTTGCGCTTTTGCTAATTTACTTTGCACGTTATAGACCGTGGGCTAATCACAAAAGTGCAATTCTATTTACACCCAAATGCTATTTTTAATCAAACAACTATATTTATTTTAGGACAAATTCGTCCATACTATAACTGAATGTAAAAGTTGTTTATAAGATATTGCAATCGTTCTCTTAAATTAAATTAAGGTCTGTAGCTTGCAGCCGAAAAGTTACGATGCGCAACTTTGAAAGCAGATGTGCTAGTAATGACGCCACCGTCGTTGTAAGCAACGATAAAGCAGTTAGTTTTAAAACGTTTATTTTAACAAATATTTCTAATTTAAACAGTGGAATTTTAAATGTAGCATAATTTACACCTATTTTAACTGAAAATATGCAAGGAACTGAGGGTTATGTATCCCTTTAACCATAGGTTAAGACGTATCTGAAATTTAATGAACAGAGAAGTCAGCTGATGACAAAGATATGACATTGACGTTCACTACATGTCATGACATGAGCATTCTTTTTAAAAAATCACAAAATTTTGCAAAGCCTTACAGGAGTGCAACACATAATTATTACACATTAAATTACAACATACAGTTATACAGCACCTTGTAATATGCAAAGTTTTTAAAATCAGCTATAAAGAACTAAGGTACAACCACCTTCAACTGACTAAACTGATCAATAATCATAATGTACCTAATATTCACATATGCATAACGTCATTGTAACTACCGATATCACATGGTACACATTAATGCACGCATTTAATACTCATGATAACTTGACAATTGATAATTCATGACATCTATAAAAACGTACCATTCCCATATAAATGGGCACTACACTAGTTAGATGTTGTAAATTAGATACATGTTCAGAGGTAAAACGTCTCATCTATTCGTCATGAACCCAATAAACCCAATACAAACGTTCATATCAATTGATCAGCACTTGTTACAAGTACAGCATGTCAAATATTGAATCCAAGCCCATGTCACACGAGAATGTACGTATATATTTCCTTTCTTCAATGCTTTCATCAATCACTTTTATATATATATTTGGCTAGATATATAGACATACCAATTCTAATGATTACAAGGTGTACGACGAATAACAGAAACGCATAAACCAGAACTACCACATAGTGTGATCGGCGTATTTTTTTATCTGGTATAGCCAATAAAGGTGCATACAGGTTTAGTTATCGTCATAAAGCTAAGATAACCAGACTTTTCGATAAGTTATATTGTAGAGAGGTAATGACCACACTGATAACCGCCCAAACAGCAGACATCTTCTCTATGCAACGGCGAAGGTGCCTGCATTTATTATAGCTCACCTTTCTAACTTATCTATTTGAGATCAAAGTAAACTACACCAATAAATTCTTTATCCTCTGATCCATTTTGGAACAACCGATTTAAAAAATCTCAGGCAATTTAGTCATAGTATCAAAATGTATTACTTGCGACCATACATGGCCTTTACCAAAGACCGTTTTCACAAGCAAACTCTCCTGGGAGGCTGTATTACTAATCACTCAGTAATTTATGCACGAAATAATCTGAAGTGTTATATTTTCACCACCCCTCTAATTAGAGTAATTGTAAATTGTTGTATCAACAATATTAGTGAGCGATGAAGCTAATGTCCTTCTTCAGCTAATATATTAACGCTCAGAGCAAATAAATTTTTCTCTGCATAAACAGTAATCTTCTCACTTTAAGAGGTATGAGCACTTGCCTAACCGAACATTACTTTGTGGCTAGGCCAGTAACAAGTTCCACGTGGATTCGTGTCATCATCGACTTGCACTACTGGTCTGACTGGTGGTGGCAAGCCAACATACTCACACTCTTATCTTGACATTGAGAACCCTCTAGTTACAGTCCCTATTATTTAGATCTGTTTACGTGTGCTGTATCGTCATTATCGTAAATTTGCACTTGCTAGCATTCACTGGAAACCCAGCAAGCACAGTTTGAAAAAATAAACCCTGCGTGCATTAATTTGAGCACTGTTTGCAAGCTGACCACCATCTTTGGGTATCAGACTTCTCCTGCACCTCCTGGCTGATGTAGAGGTCAGACTGAGAACGATTCTAGTTAGCATCTCACCAGGCATGGAGCACTGCATTATCGATGGATACTGATAGTGACATACATACAATATAACAGTAATAAAATATAAAAAAGTGTTTAAATATTCACTCCAGATTATAACTGATACAACATACATAAATTAGGTTGCACAATCTATTATACCATAATCTAACTGCAAATCATGGTAAACGAAAATATATGAAACACCAAATCTTGAGCAAATTTGTCGTAGGAAAACACCCAGGAGTGCATTACACAGTAATATGTAATTTTATGGTATGTTTGACATTTAGGAGTGCAAACAAAAAGGCGATCATAAAATCATGTCGAATCAAGCAACACAATTATAACTCGTAATCCGACAGTGCTTAGGCAGACCGTTTTATCTCATGATGTACAGCTAACTACAACCAACAAGGGAATTACGATAAACCGCGCACCTCCTCTGAAACCTATCTCATCTTCAGCCAATCTAGATAAAAATGCCAGCACGCCAAAATGGGCGACAGTGCCAGTTTGTATTATTTATCAACAAAAAAAGATCGGCCAAGTTGCATTCCTTATGACAAACTGTAACTTGATACATTCCAAGCTTCATTGGGTGGTCCATGTGCCGCACATATATATTATATTGATCGTGCAAACATGAGCCGGTGATCCTAATATTAGCTCTAACACACATGGATGTACGTTACGTCATGTACTGTGTGCATACATCACTGTCAGGAAGCCACAAGGTCAACTGTGATATGCAAAACATTCAGCAAACCCATTTTGCTACAAGGCCAGATTTTACCTCCATTTCGACATAGGTCGTTACATCAAAAATTAACCCCAGCCACTATGCTTTTATACGGTACACGACAGCTGCATTTTGTATATAACGTGCATGTACACGTGCCACGTCAACTTTATTATGTAACCAGCAGAATTTTGTGTTAATTACAATGGTAGCATTGCCTTGAAAATGAGATTATGGTGCATGTTATCCGCACAACACTGTTACAAGTAATAATTGGGTTGGCATCAGCCTTTGTGCTTGCATACAAAATGAAGTAAATTCTGAGAAGAACTTATTCTATCCCGTAACATTTTCTACTAGTGATAACATTTGTGTTCGATTTGATGTGCAGTAATTATAAATCACATTTCATGCAGTTCTAAGTTCTACACAGATTAGATTTATTACGTGTCATGTTGACACACACACAAAATCCAGTAAAGGGCAGCTGTTTCTGTTAAATTTCAAATCAAGTGCTTCTCACCTACCATTATGTTTGTGCTAGCCAACCTGATCTCCTTATCAATGGAGCATAGTACAATGAGAAAAAAGTATAATGCTGAAAAGGTGATTATAATGTGACCAAAGTTAGTAAATTATAAAATTAGGACCTGAGAATGCAGAAAATTTCAGAAATATCACGATCTATGCACAATGGTGCTTCAGATGATATTGTTTGACGTCTCTTTTAGTGCATGGCATATACCCTGATCTATGAATGGTTATGTTAATGGGTTTTAACAACAATGAACAATATTGCTGGGAGTCGTATCAAGATCTAAGTATTAAGAGTTTAACATGTTGGTCTCACAGCCAGCTAACTGCATGATAAAATGGGGGTGTGGTTTTTCACACGCCACAACTTACTGCCTAGTATGCCGATGTACTCATATCTACACGCACTCACTCACACACACGCGCACACATGCTTACTCACACACACGCACACGCACACACGCGAATAGGGATCTATAACTTCCACTGTCAGATTGTCTGATTGTAGATAGGCCTACCTCTATGTTTATCTAGACAACAATAACAACACATCACATTCATAGTCATGATTGATACTAGTGATTACAATTATGTAGATGAATAATATCTCATAATGCTGGTTATGATTTCTATTGAGTACACGACCTGTCGCAAAAATGGGGTGTGTAGGCAGTAATGCATACATAATACATATCAGTGTCACCATTTGACATGATATAGGCCTATATCTATAAATTTATTCATACGAATCATAGATTAGAACTAAAAACGCATTACTGATCCGTATCACTAATCACATATGACCTTCAATCACAATGATTACCACACGATTAACTCCTAAACCAATCCCGGGGTTACTGATTACTGTATTACGTTGCACTCTGATTGTGAGTGTAACTAATCAGTAATCTACCCTAAACAAGAAAAAATAGCCTACAGCAGTCCTACAGACCCGAATAAATTGTTCTTCACGGAGGAACTACGGCCTCACAAATTTTTAATATGGATCGGTCATTTCAATGTGTACCTCCGCTGAAATTAATTAAATAAGTACATGGGAAGGTTATCTAGCTTATTCTACATTACATATATCCTTATCTATGAGTTATAAGAGCAAACTTCAATAAATACCATGCAACTTGCTGTGTTTGCAGTTGTAGTCGCCATATTGGGATCAGTCGACGCCGCAAAGTCAGCCGCGATTGTAAGCGCCTAATTTCGCTCGAAAAGGGGCATGTAGGGAAACATATGTGACGTTGGCGGCTGGTTTCGAACGTCCCTTTCGACATGGCGACCAGCACGAGAAATGTGACCGATAATACCGGTTGGCCAAAATGGCAAATTGCAGTTGCTGTTGGTGTCGGGGCACTAGGTGTAGGAACCATATATTATCTATATCGTCGAAATAACAAGCAAAAGGCGAAAACATGCGAAGTGGTAGAAAATGTGGAACCAAAAACACAGGTATTTTCAAGCTAAATTCAGGGTTACCAACGCAGAGCTGTACCAGCGCAGTCAACAAACACAGTCGCGTTACTATAGTACCGTACTGCTACTGGCGTACATAGTCAGCAACTCGACTTTATTATTAATATTGCATTATAACTTGTGGATATGAGGTTTCCTGGGATGATTAATAATATAAAATTCCTGTCCGTGCCCTTTTGTCCTTGAGAAAAATGGAAGAAGTAAACGGCTAACAGTAACAAGTAACATGTTATTGGGATATTAGATTTTGTAATTGTAGGCCCTATTGCTTAAAGTATCTATTCATGTGGCAGGGTTCAACATTAACTTTTTATTTCACTAGACCATCGGGCTAGTAACTGAGGAAAACCGCTAGCCCTGACCTAACTTTCACTAGCCCAGACCATTGTTATGAAAAACTTTATTTAGATAAGACTAAGAGTGTGTCATCGTATGAATTCATAGATGCTGTTTCCCGCGCTTTAAATCGCGCGTGGGCTGAGTTCACGTGCAGCATTCGTATTCTACCACGGGCATACACGAGCGCACGG